AATGGTTACTTCAAAGAAGGCACTTTTAGATAGTAGTTTTGAATGCCCAAGAGCGTAACACCAGCAATGACTTGTGGTGAGAGCCTCATGGCCTATAGCACCACATGGGAAGAATGAATGTGAGAAAGATACATACATATATGTATGCATGCAGGCATGGTACACACATATAACTATATGAAAGTATATTTTTGAAGACATTTATTTACTTGTTTATAAGGCAGAGTGACAGGAGAAGAGAGAGAGAGAGAAAGAGATCTTCCATTCATTTATTCACTTTCCAAATGTCTGGCTCAGTTTCAAACTGAATTTCTAAAATTTAGAAATTCTCCCCATTCTTTTTGTATCTCACTGGAGGATTAGACAGTGAATATTCCAGCACTTCTTCCATGGTCCTACCCTGTTTACATGAAAATCATGCCATTTTCTAAAATAGTTTTTCTATAAAGTAATTTTATTAATTGAATCTATAGTTAGGTACTTCAAACAGTAATTATTTCAAAGAAAAATACAAAAATCTACAAGTTATACTTTGTCTATGACATAAAAGCCAAACAGGCATAGCTTGTATGTTGACAATACCTGTGATACAGTTCATATTAGAAGGAACCACCAGAGTTACTTCTTTTGTTTGAGGGATTTGAGTTATCACATTGGAAATGTCAAAGATCATTCATTTTAGCTGTAGCTCAATATTGTCAATTAAATGTGCCTCACAAGCGAGAAAGCTTGATTGGTTTCTGTTTCAGTTGTACTGGGACAACATTAATTTTATGCCATCCGAAGCTATCTATAGTGACAGAATTAGGGGCAATTACATTTTCTTAATGAGATTCCTCCTAAGAGACTAGTAGAGAATACTTGCAATGAGACACAAACTAGGAAGATTAACATGGGCATAATTAAAAAAAAAAGCTCTAGGAACATGTCACTCCTTAACGTTATAAAAATAAAATAAATAATGTTAATAACCAAATTTTTAGAAGTGTATCTACTCCTTTTACAAACTGAGTACTATGTAAACAAGAAGACTATACAGTTACACATAACTATTTCATGGTAAACAAAATTAGTAGGATTGACTTAAAACTATGCAGAGCTGGTATTGCAACACAGCAGGACAAGCCACTGATTAGGACGCCAGAATCCCATACGCCTTCCTCTATCAGAGTGCTTGAGTAACAGCTACACTGCTCACAGTTCAGCTCCTTGGTAATGCACCTGGGAAGGCAGCAGAAGATGGCTCAAGTACTTGAGCCCCTGCCACCCATGTGGGAGTCCTGGAAGGAGTTCTTAGTTTCCTCCTGTTGTCGGTCTGACCCAGTCTAGACTATTATGGTCATTTAGAGAATGAACCAGCTGATGCAAAGCTTTTCTTTCCTCTCTCTGTTTCTCCTTCTCTCTGTGTTGCTCTTTCAAATAAATAAATTACAGTAAATGAAATGCAGTGATAGCAAGAAAACAGAATACTCAAAAACATAAATGAAGGCTTAAATTTGTAAGTATCAAAACATTTATTTATGATCAACTAGACTGTTAACATTTTAAAATCAATATAAAACCACATACAATTTGCATTACAGATGAATTAGAGAGAGAGGTGAGAGACAGATAGCTACATAATGAATAAAGTTACAGAGAGTAAGGTGATTGCATATATCACAATCTATAAAAGTAAAAAAAAAAACCGGAAAGATGGATGTTAAGAGTTATAGCTAATATATAATATAATTATATTAATATTATATTAATATAATATATTAGCAACTGGCTAATATAAGTAGCCAGTTGCTACTTATATTGCAGATATGGTAGGAAAAGGGGGAAAATGTGTGCATCAGAATTTCAAGCCCAAGTTAATGCAAAGCCATTGGAAAATGCTTGAGATTTTTCAGATGAGAAATATTCTGTGAGTCAATACAGAGTATTCAACTCATTGAAATCTTTCTTGTTATTCATTTTATCTCTTCGTTCAAAATTATTATCAGGAGGTCAATAGTAGCCTCTTTTTTGCTAAGCCATTAAAATATTCCTTCTGCTTTTTCAGCAGCATCTAAGTACTAGCTACTTTCGTCTTGCAAACAAGAGTAGTGCTGATGTAGCAAGTCAAACTGGAGAGACATGTTTCCTAGTCATCCTGAACCTTTTCACAATTTCTATGCCATATATAAATCTAAAGTTTCATTTTCATTTCAAACATGTTGTCTAATTAAGGCATGTATATAAAAACAGGATCCACTGAGAGAACCAAATTGTGGGCTACATTTAATGTAATTGTTCAACATATCAAGCTAAGAAATTCATTGGGGTATTGCTGGAAGCTTGTAGACTGGTGGTGTCCTAATTCATGAATTGCTGAATGTGCAAATAAACTTTTTTAAATTAAGAGAGAAAAGAAAAAAAAAAGAAGAAATACAAATAGCTGTCCAAGATTGATTAGGAATTCCTAATTTTAAAGTTTTTAATTAACCTATATAACAAAGTATTCCATTGTTAAAAACACATTCTGTTCCAACTGTTTAGCCTCATCCTTAATTATTATATTATCTATCTATCTGTCATCTACCTATCTATCATCTATCATCTCAGTTAATATCATGCAACACAATGGCAGAATTCAAATGCCTATTGCAAGGATTCCCCAAAAAACCTATATTCATTTTTTTTTTTTTTTGACAGGCAGAGTTAGACAGTGAGAGAGAGAGAAACAGAGAGAAAGATCTTCCTTGTTCCTTTGGTTCACCCCGCAAGTGGCCGCCACAGCCAGCATGTTGTGGCCAGTGTGCTGCACCGATCTGAAGCCAGGAGCCAGGTGCTTCCTCCTGGTCTCCCATGCAGGTGCAGGGCCCAAGGACCTGGGCCATCCTCCACTGCACTCCCGGGCCACAGCAGAGAGCTAGACTGGAAGAGGAGCAACCGGGACAGAATCCGGTGCCCCAACCGGGTCTAGAACCCGGGGTGCCAGGGCCACAGGCAGAGGATTAGCCTAGTGAGCTGCTGCGCTAGCATATATTCATTCTTTTTACAGTAACACACATCTTTAAAATATCAGCAGCATAATATTGATGAATGTTATGTGTCAGTGAAGTACTATCTTGGATCAATTATGATTCTTCTCTGTGATGTCTTTAATCTGCAGTTTAGGAACCATTGCTTTTCATGTTATAGTCTCATGACTGAAGAAAAATAGCAAAAGAATTAGTTGGTAGAAACAAATACAGACTCTTATGTTAACTTCTCTGATGATGTACATTACATCTGTTCTAATACATTATTAAGACCAGTCGTTGGGATAGAAATCCGAGATATATTATCCTCTTACTAGGAGAAAGAGTGAGCACATTGGGAAAAATAATTTCTGATATTATTTCTAGACCTATAATTATGAACTTTTTACTTCTAATTTTCTTCTCATAAATATCAATTTAATCTAACCTAATTCTCTATTCATAATTAGCTCTGGAGAGAAAATGCTACAGATTGTGTAGCAGATAACTTCATGTTATTTCGTTACCAAACTTCCCTAAAAACATGGATTATCATGACTTATTCTGTGAAGGTGGTGGGTCTTTGTCCTAGCATTTGAGACAGTGGTTAGGATGACTGCCTCTCACCTCAGAGTACCTGGGTTCAATGGCTAAGTTGGCTAACTCTGGCTTCCTGCTAAAGATGACCATGGAAGGCGGCAAGCGATAGCCCAAGTAGTTGGGTCCCTGTCACCCACTTAGATACCTAGATTGAGTTCCTGGCTCCCCACTTCAGTTCTAGGCCTAGCCTTAGCTATTGTGAACCTTTGGAGAGTCTACTAGTGAATATCTGCTCTCTTTTCTATCTTATCTCATCATTTCTGTCTCTCAGTAAATGAATAAAAAATTTAAAAAGTTATTTTTCAAGCAAATTTTAATCATGCCCTACATTCTTAAATAATTTTTACTTCTTTTTAAACATTTAATTTAATGAATACTAATTTTAAAGAAGCTAATTTTCCATAGGTACATTTTAGTAATATAGTGGTTCTTTCCCCCGTACCCACCCTCCCACCCTGACTCCCATCCCACCTCCTACTCCCTCTCCCATCCCCTTCTTCATTATGGTTCATTTTCAGTTTAACTTTATATATGGAGGACCAACTCTATATTAAGTACAGATTTCAACAGTTTGTACCCACACATACACACACATGCACACACACAACATATAGAGTACAGTTTAAGACCAAGTTTTACAATTAATTCTCATAGTACAACTCATTAAGGACAGAGGTCCTACATGGGGAGTAAGTGCACAGTGACTTCTGTTGTTCATTTAACAATTAGCACTCTTATTTATGACGTCAGTGATCACCCAAGGTTCTTGCCATGGGCTGCCAAGGCTATGCAAGCCTTTTGTGACCACAGACTCCATCAATATTTGGACACAGACATACACAAAGTGGAAGTTCTGGCCTCCCTTTAGAGAAAAGTACATCCTTCCTTGATGGCCCCTTTTTTCCACTGAGGTCTCACACAGATCCTCCATGTAGGATAATTTTTTGCCACAGAGTCTTGGCTTTCCATGCCTGAAATACTCTCACAGGCCATTCAGCCATATCAGGAAGCCTTAAGGGTTGATTCTGAGGTCAGAGTATTATTTACAGTGAATGTCATTTTAGGAGTCTGCTGTGTGGACTGCTTCCCATATTGGATATTCCCTTCTTTTTTATTCTGTCTTATTATTACCAGGCACTTGATGCTATTTATATGATCACTTTTACACTTAAACCTATCCATATGTTGAGTTTAACATTTCATATGATTACTTTCACAATTAAGATGGCATTTTTACCACTGATTTTAATGGAATTGAGTCCCATGACAAGTTTTTAGGCTGTATCCTTAGAAGTAAGTCTGCAGGACTGTATGTAGAACTATACAGCTTACAGTTACCAACTTCCTCCCCCCTCTCTTATTCCCCCTATTATGTTTTTTTCCTGGAAAGTCACTTTATTGCAATGAAGCACACTCCAAGCCCCATCAGGCTCCTTCCTCCTTTGCGATCCTGTCTTTCTTAAGTGGTCCCATGAACGCCTTCTTCTCCTCCACCCTCTGGAAGCGGCAGTGGCTGAACTTGGAGGTGGTGTCAATGAACTTGAGGTCGATCTTCTCCAGGGCCCACCGCTTGGTCTGCACCAGCAGGGACTTGCGCAGGGTCAGCACCTGCTTCTTGGTGCCCACCATGCAACCTTTAAGCATGACGAAGTCGTTGGTTACTTCCCTGTAGTGCACGAAGCCACCCAGGGGGTTGATGCTCTTGTCTGACAGGTCATAGTCAGTGGAGGTGTTGTTCTTGAGCAGCTTGCCGTCCTTGATCAGGTAGCCCTGGCCGATCTTGTAGATCTTCTTGTTGATCTCCGTGCGGTGGTGGTAGCCTTTCTGCCTAGCCCATGCCACAGAAAAGGCCTTGCGCGCCAGGTGCCATGCCCCAATGCAGGCCACCTTGGGCAGCCCTCGGTGCGTCTTGCGGGGCAGCTTCTTGGTGTGCCAGCGGCTGGTGACCCCTTTGTAGCCCTTCCCCTTGGTCACGCCTGTGACGTTGATCATCTATTATTTTTTACTGGGATGTTTTTTCAATTGACCTTATATTTATATGATTATCTCTATGCTATGTAAACAGTTCAGCATATAGTATGAAGAAGAGAAAAGAAAAAGAAAGAAAGAAAACAAAGAAAAAAAAGGAAATACAAAATAAAAAATAACAATAAAAAACTGTCCCTCTACAGTCAGGACAAGGGCTATTCAAGTCATTGTTTCTAAAAGTGTCAATTATACTTCTGATCCTGAACATTTTTTCATGTGTCTTTTGGCCATTTGGATTTCCTCTTTTGAAAAATGTCTGTTTAAGTCATTTGTCCATCTTTTAATTGGGTTGTTTATTTTGTTATTGTGGAGTTTCCTGATCTCTTTGTAGATTCTGGTTATTAATCCTTTATCAGTTTCATAGTTTGCAGATACTTTCCCCCATTCTGTCAGTTGCCGCTTCACTTTCCTGACTGTTCTTTTGCTGTACAGAAGCTTCTCAATTTGAGGTAATCCCATTTGTTCATTTTGGCTTTGACTGCCTATGCCTCTGGAGTACTTCTTCAAATTTCATTTTTGTTTGTTTGTCAGTGAGAATTATTTTGTTTGTAACCAAGTTTTCCTCTATCATTTCATCCTGGATATTATATGTGAGATGAAGTATATAGAATCAAGGGAAAGCCCAAAGTTATCCAATCAGTAAGTCATTAGAGAATGTCATTTAAGAAAGGGGACTTACATTTTTCATTAACTAAGCAGGCATTTTGCCAGAAATTCACAAAATACATTTTTTTAAAATGCTTAATCTTAATAACAATGAAAGAACTGACTGCAAAAGATAAAAAGGGCGCTGGCACTGTGGCTTAATGGGTAAAGCTGCCACCTGCAGTGTCAGCATCCCATATGGGTGCTGGTTCAAGTCCTGGCTGCTCCACTTCTGATCCAGCTCTCTGCTGTGGCCTGAGAAAGCAATATAAGATGGCCCAAGTCCTTAGAACCCTCACCCATATGGGAGACCCAGAAGAAGTTCCTGGCTCCTGGTTTCGGATTGGTGCAACTCTGGCTGTTGCAGCCAATTGGAGAGTGAATTAGTGGGTGGAAGTCTCTCTCTTTCTTTCCTTCTCTCTCTGTGTAACTATGACTTTCATATATATAAATAAATCTAAATAAAATAAATAAAAATAAAAAAGGACAGAAAGTAAAGCAGAGAATTCAGTTGGGTGACATGAGCTAAGAATTTGGAAATGGAGATGAAAGGACAATGAGTTTGAGTTATGTTTTGATAGAACCAAAAGAACATGTGGTTGTACCAGATGCAGCAGTGCCTCCCTCTCCTCCTCTCCCTCCCTCGCCCCTGTTCATCTCCCTGTTTCCTTCCCTCTCTAATAAATTAATGAAAGTTTATAAAAGAATCATATGTGCTCAGTAAATGAAAGGAAAATAAGAAATAAGAGAAAGTGCTGTCATGTCAACCAACATGCCAGATCAAGAAAGAAATGTGTTTCAGGGGAGATGAAATGTTAAAGCAGACAGTGATGTCAAGATTAAGTAATATACCAAAAGAAAAACAGAGAATGTGACACAATAGAAGCTGCTGGCTCTGATAGGATTAGTTTCATTGGAGTAGCTGACAGGCAAGTAAATTGAGGCTAAATTAATACCACAAAATAGTCTAGAGAATTGCAACAGAATTTTCTTCAGTCATTCAAGCTACATAATTTGAAAGGAAACCCTGTCATTTTGACAACATAGATGGATCTTGAGGATGTTATGTTAAGTGAAAAAGTCAGGCTCAGGAAAACATATCCTACATGATCTCCCTTACATGTGGAATCTAAAAAGCTTGAAAGTAGAAAGTATAATAGTAGTTACTAGAGGCTTCAGCTAGACAGGTGAAATAACTTCAAGAGATTCATTGTATATCATGGTGACTAGAGTTAATAACATGTCATTGCTTTTCTTGAAAATGCTGAGTAGATTTCAAGTTTTCTCACTATGAAACATATAGATATTAGATAATATGCATGTTAATTAGCTCAATTTAGCCACTTTACAATGTTTGTATAATAGTTATCACCATATATATGTATATACATATATACACATGTGTTCTGTATGTAAATATATATGCACATTTGGTCAACTAAAAAGAAATATAGCAAAATATAAAATTGGAGAAAAATTATTTTTGTAAACGTAGATATTATGGCTAAGTTAAGTGCTAAAGAGTTTATTAAAGTTTCAATAATAAAAATAAAATAAATGCAGGCATAAATATATTGAGAAAGTGAGGGCGGATTTGAATCAAAACATAAGCATGGGTTTGTGGTGGAAGAATGGACTTATTTTAGAAGCAAGAGAGTCTATCCACTGTCACATTAGAGAAAGAAGATTACGCAGGTTAAAAGAGGAGAAGCTTTGCAGATTTGGCATCATGTAATACAGCAAGTTTCTGCCTGATTGCTTCCATTTCATTAAAAGACTTAATGTAGGCAAAGCTTTTAGTATGGTGTCTGGTCCTGAGTAAGAATAATATAAATGTTAGCTATTAATATTTTCAATAAAGTATGAAGAAAAGTCATCAGTTGAAAATAACAATGGGAGCAAACAATTTGGGGAAGAAGAAATATGAAATAATAATTGTTTTGAAGTGACACTTTTTTACTTATAGAGATTTTTATCTGTAATTTTTCTATTTTTTCATGTAAAAGATCTTATTTTAGGAGACTTCATTAGTCTTTCTCTGATGTGGCCCTCATTATCACTGCATATAGGTAGAAGGCAAATCTCATGTAAATTACAGGACATGTGCACTCTGTTTGCATTTACACTTATGTCCTTATTGCAATAAACTATTCGATGTGAGCATGACAGCTTCCTTTGCTACTCCATTCCATGATGCTGACATTACTCCTTCAAAGCTGAGCTCTGTGTGGGTCTATCACTGGCATTCCTGTGTGTGTATATCTGTCACACACTGGAGTTTATTATGGGTAGTTTTACTTAGATGTAAATGCAAGTCACATTATGCAATGTATATTTTATGCCTAACAAGGGTAATGTGTTATCTTTTATCTACCATCCCTTTGTCTTATCAGAATAAAAGTGCAAATGAGAAATTTGATTGTTTTGCTTAAGACTAACACTACTGTACCTAGAGATTAGTGGTTGTGTGGTCTTGGGCAAAGTAAATATATATTTAAATCAATTCCTACATCAATTAAAAAAAACAGTAAGAGAAGTGATCTGACAGGCATTTATAATAATGATTAAAAGTATGCTTTCAAGTTTGTAAATACTCTACAAACGTTAGCTTCTTTTAAAGATGTAAAACACAGATAAAAGTAACAGATTCTAGCGTTCCACAATACATTGAGATGACCAGAGTGCACAATAATTTTAAACTCTCCAAAGAATCGTAAAAACAGAGCAAGTAGTTTCTAACAAAGAAAAAATTAAAGAAATGAAGTGTTGGTTGTCTTGCTTCTTTGGTTTGCTCTGTGTATGTATGTTGAAATACTGTACTGCATGCCATAGAAATGTACTAATATTGCATGTTAAAAAGTTTAGATAATAAAAAGATATTTTAAAATTCATGTAAAAAAAAGAAGTTAACATAGTAAAGCCAAGGACAAAGAACAGAAAAATAATAGCATAGGAAGTTTGTGGAGAAAGAGGAAGAGAGTGTATTACACCCACTTTGAGAATCTTAATTAATCCAAGAACATTTTGAGGCTGTATTCGGAGGTAATTTCTCAAGTGGCAAATCAAAAATCAGAAGCTATTCTACTTTACTTCCCAAGTTGTTTATAGGGAAGATGACAAGTTAAATGTGGGAGGGCCAAAAATAGTTTTTCAATCCAAGTTGGCAATTTAATGCCAAGAAAATTACCAGATTGTCTGTTAGGATCCAAGCTGGATTCTGTTGTATAATTTGCAAAGCTTAATGCTGAGTGTTCATTGATGTAAACACTCATTCAACACCATTTATTTTAGAGGTCATCTACTTGCTTGCTAAGGAGGAAATATTTAATTGTGCCAGTGACTATTTCAAGGTTCCAGTGGCAAGAGGGAACCATGAAAAGCTCATTAAACGATTTTGCCCTTGTTTTGACATTTGTTTTTCTCCTACTCTCAGCTTCCCTAGGAAAGACACAGAAGGAATAGACATGAGAGAAGATGAAACTTCTTTTTTTTCTTTTTTTTGCAGATTTTATTTTTATTTATTTGAAATAAAGAGTCACACAGAGAGAGAAGAGGCAAGAGAGAAAGAGAGAGAGAGAGAAAGGGAGAGAGAGAGAGGTCTTCCATTTACTGGTTCACTCTCCAGTTGGCTGAAACTGCCGGAGCTACGCCAATCTGAAGCCAGGATCCAGAGGCTTCCTCTGGGTCTTCCCCTGCAGGTGCAGGGGCTGAAGGACTTGGGCCATCTTCTACTGCTTTCCCAGGCCATAGCTGAGAGATGGATTGGAAGCGGAGCAGTCAGGACTTGAACCAGCACCCATATGCAATGCCAACACTGCAGGCAGCATCTTTACTCGCTATACCTCAGTGCCAGCTCCAACATGAAGCTTCTTTTTTTTTTAATTTATTTTTTATTTAGTAAATATAAATTTCCCAAGTACAGTTAATGTATTACAATGGCTTCCCCCCAACAATTTCCCTCCCACTCACACCCCTCCCATCTCCCGCAACCTCTCCCATTGCATTCACATCAAGATTCATTTTTAATTATCTTCATATGCAGAAGATCGATTTAGTATATATTAAGTAAAGATTTCATTGGTTTGCACCCACACAGAACCTAAAGTGTAAAATACTGTTTCAGTACTAGTTATAGCATTACTTCACATTGGACAACACATAAAGGATAGATCCCACATGAGAAGTAAGTACACAGTGACTCCTGTTGTTGACTTAACAATTTGACACTCTTGTTTACGGTGTCAGTAATCTCCCTAGGCTCTAGTCATGAGATGCCAAAGCTATGGAAGCCTTTTGAGTTTGCCGACTTAGATCTTATT